AAAATCCACATTTTGCTATGTTAAAAGAGAATCTCGCTGCAGTCAATACATCCAAAACAATCCTCAACTTTTCCATACCTGATTCTATGGTAGATGACACCACCACCAATCGTCCATATAGACTATCACTTATGAATATGCAAGATTTCCCAATGCGTTTATAATGGCTCGCTGGAAAACAGACGGGGCCAAATGGCATTGTCAAATACTCATAGTGCCCATCAGGTGTAACAAAAGCAGTATATTCAACAGAATCGGGATGAATGGGTATCTGATGGTATCCACTAGTCATATCCAGACAAGTAAAATATTTTGCACCCGCAAGTCTAGCAATCTGATCGTTGATTAGTGGTAAGGGATATCTGTCAGAAACAGTATTGCTGTTCAGTCACGATAATCAACATAGAGTCGATCGGATCCGTTCTTCTTTTTAACCAAGAGTATATGGCTAGCATAGAGAGAACGATATGGACGCCGCTGCACGGTTTTGTTTGCATCAATTAATCTAATAGCCATTTCACCCGTATTAACCTTTGTGCCAGGGATTCCATTAATAAATGCAGCTTTCTTTAAGTAATTTAATTAAGTTTTCTTTGTCATTACCAATCATTTCATTATCAACATTAAGTAACAAGGCAGATGGCTCAGATACTTTACAGACGTTTACAGATTTAGACTTAACCAATTTGAATTTATCAGGTGTCAAGATGATTTCCTATCCAAGACTAAGGATTTCCCTACCAATTACAATATCATTTGTGAGATGCTTATCTGCTATGACGTGAAACAGTATTTCTTCAAGATTTCCATTAATAATACATTTAGATAGTTTTTGTAGCTGACTAGAAATGCCAGCGTCGCCAATACCTCGTATTATGATAATATTATTAATCAATATTATTAATATTATTAGCTCATGCTCCCGTGTATGTGAATGTGTGACACGCATACATGTGACACTTCTTCCTCGCGCTCCATTCAGCGACTGAGAAACAGAAAGCATTCAATGAGAATATCAGCGCAAGATGAACGAACGGTGAGCGTAAAAAAGAGAGTAAGATTTCGCTCTGGGACCTGCTGGGGCCAGTCGCAAGAAATTTTTGCGTCCATATTCGTTGTATGAAATGGGTTGTCTATATGCAGCAGTGGTCGGCACGGCCCTATACCGAGGGCATAGGAAATTTCTCTTCCCGAGCTCTGCCATACACACACAGTATAAATGTATAAAAAGTCATGCTCACAGCCTACTTTCTGCTATTCGTTACTAATACTGATGCGTTAAAATCATATCAATGTATTGGGGTGCCTACCACTGCACTATGGGGTTTTTGACCACTTTATGTGGCATTTAATCATTTTTTGAAAGTTCTCTGATTTAAAAAAAATTAATGCCTCATACTCAAAATGTTAATTCTTAACAGCATATGTTAGCATAACAGCTGCAAAGTCAGCTGTTGCATCCGAAAGTACGTGCGTTACGTTTGCAATTTTCACATAGTGATCTGTGAAATTAGATTATTTGTTTAAAACTCCATTTAAAAAGAAAAATAGTAATGGACACTGATTTCACAGGTTTGTACTACATGTTAAATTTATTAACTGTTTAAATTGTGTCTATACTAAAATTTTGTCATTTTAAAATGCACCTTAGCCTGAATTTTGGGAAACAAATTTCAACTTTGGGAAGAGTTTTGAAATAGAAGAAATAAAAAATTGTCAATGCGTCCAAGTGTATATTGTAGCGTTGTTAATACTGAGCAAAGGCTGTTAGTCTTATTACGCACTTTTCCCCACTATTGGTGCAATTTGAATTTTTCTTAGATAACCTCACTTTCTATAAAGACGATTTGGTCTGCTTGAAACAAGCTATATAAATCAGACAGGCGTCACCATTCAAGAAAGCACAACCGATTACATTCCTTCGCTGATGTGTTTAACAGAGCTATGGATGCATCAGATCCAATTATTTCGTCCTTAATTTATCGAGATGCATAAAAAACTAAAGAGTCTTTTACTTCCAATTGAGGTAATTGAGATGCTTTCGTACGAATACGAAAATAATGTTTGTCTCGAAGATGACGAATTTAACGATTCCAGCTTGTTTTTTTTAGATAATATTGATATATTATAGAAAATGAAATAAATGAATAATAAGATTAATACTACTGTATGAAGGAATTTTTCTTTTTGAACTTTTAGATGCATTTGTATGGAAGAACACTGAAATCCGGTATTTTAAACTGATAGTTCCCAGGGAAAGCGTTATCCGATTTGGTTCAAAATTGCTTTATCGTATTAGAATAGCAACAAATATCAGCTCCTTAAATTTCATTAATTTATCTTTACTTTTACCAAATCCTTCCTATGGGAGCTATAGGACGTGCCTAGGATCAAATAACAACGATTCGTGAAGTTTCTAGAGGTGCAGAAACATCGATGTTTTTAAATTTCTAAAAAACATCGATTGTTTTTTTTGACCATCGATGTTTTGAGAACCATCACTATTTCAAAAAATTCGAAGAAGAAAAGCACGCTTAAGGTTCGTATTTTGTAACATTTTACTTATTTTGTTAATAATAATGTTTAATTATTTACTTATACTTATAGAAAGTGATATTGGTGGTGTAGGCGCGACGCTGATTCAGTTTCAACAATTGATAAGTTCTTGAACCGTAAGTAAATTAAAAACTGCGCAGTACATGGCGAACTACAAGCAATGTAGTTGATTGCGTACATATGTCCCACGTGTGGCGGCCAATTCTCATCTGTTCATTTTTTATAATATAGGTACAACGAAGGAAAATATTGAAATATTGTCGCCTAAAAGAAAGCGAGAAACATCATGTGTGTGGCAGCACTTTAAGAAAACCGAGGACAAGACTAAGGCCACCTGCATTCACTGTGGGAAAACGTTAAAAACGGCAGGAAACACAACTAACTTAATGGACCACCTCAAACGTATACATTCAAACTATAGTGTTTTAGAAATAGATGGTCAGTCCCTAAGTCTAGATAGTTTCATGCAACGAAATATAGAGTATCCGCCAGAGTCCCAAAAGAAAAAAACAATGGACAAATATGTAATGCTCATGATAGCACGGGACGTTCAACCGTTTTCCATGGTTGAGGACGATGGATTCCGTAATTTAATGCAGCAAATGGACCCTAAATATAAAATGCCGAGCAGAACCTTTTTCAGAGAAGTAATGCTACCTAAGATATATAAAGATTTAAGAAAGGATCTGGAATGTGAGCTCGAAGGTGTCCAGTACGTTGCAATTACCACGGATGGATGGACTTCCCGTGCTAATGAAGCTTACATAACGGTTACGTGCCACTATGTAAACAAACAGTTTCAGCTAATTACAGCGGTCTTGTCCACGGCGAGTCTTTTGACGCCCACAAATCACTCAGCAATGAATATCGCTGACACGATTCGGCAAGTACTAAATGAGTGGAAACTTCTACATAAAGTTGTAACTATAGTTACAGATAACGACGCTACAATGAAGAAGGCATGCGAACATTTGCAAATTAAACATTTTCCATGTTTTGCGCAAACGATAAATTTGCTAGTTAAAGAAATTCTCAAATTGGAGATTATTCGGCCCATTCTTACCAAGTGCAAGACTGTTGTCGCATTTATGAAGCGAAGTTCGACTGCCATGGCGAAATTTAAGGACGCTCAAATGGTGACACCCCCCCTTGGATTAATTCAAGAGGTACCAACTAGGTGGAACAGTGCCTTCCAAATGATGGAACGAATTTTGCAGACTAATGAGGCACTCTCAATCGCATTGTTAGGAACTGCAAAGGCTCCGGCACCTTTCTCTGCCGAGGAAATTGGTGTCCTGGAGGAACTTTGTTCATTGCTTCGTCCGTTCGAGAAAGCCACAAAATTAATATCGGGCGGGAAGTACCCCACTATGTTCCTCGTAATTCCAATTGTCTGCGAAATGCAATCACAAGTGTTTTCTTATAAAGATAGCTTTAAAAGCCCAGAAGCCATTCTGGCATTCAACTTTTTAAGTGAACGCTATAATGATCGTTTTGGGCACTATGAAACGCGCACCGTTCCTAGGATGGCAACATTAATTGACCCCAGGTTTAAAAAACAGGGCTTCCAACGAACAAATAATGCCGATCAAGCATATCGAGCATTAGAAGACGAGCTTCACAATGTTTTTAAAAATTTGACTCAAGAACCATCCACATCAGCGTCGATAGCGCCTACACCACCCAATCCAACTTCGAGTTTTTTTACCAATCTTCAACTCAAAATAAGTTCAAGAAAAACGACTACGCGTTCTGACGCAATTATATTGCTCAGGCAACACGTAGAAAGCGGGAACGAGCCAGAAACTTGCGATCCCTTAAATTTTTGGATGGTAAATATAGAAATTGTGTATTATGATTATTTTAAAATAAATTATTCTAATTCTAGCTGTGTTCAAACAACATGCAGCCCTTCAAGGAGCTAAAAAAAAAATTCTTTTGTATTCCAGCCACGTCGTGTGAATCAGAGAGAGCCTTTAGCAAAGCAGGCCAAATAATTTCGGATCGCCGTACCCGGTTGAAGTCCGAAGTTGTTGACCAGCTAATGTTTATTAATAGGAATTACTATATCTTTAATAAGTGACTTATCCGATCTCTATGGACTGCATTTTTGTTTTTATTTTATTAATTTCTCTAAATATGTTACTTGAATAAATTTGTTATTTTTTTTTCGTTTAAATACAAATTTTATAAAGACTTTTTAATTATATTTTTTAATATAAAATTATTTTTGAAAACATCGATGTTTCATCGATGTTTTTTTAAAAACATCGAAAAACATCGATGTCTGCAAACATCGATGTTTCTGCACCTCTAGAATTTTCATGTCGATATAGTGCACTGATATGCAGTAGAGCTGGGAAAAAATCGATGTCAACATTGATTATATCGATTCTTATTTTTAGGCCGATGCATCGATTCGGTTTTCAGGGAATCGATGTATCGGAAGCCTAAGAAAAAAAATGCCATCACTGTGAATAAGAAAAGGAGGAAAACTATCAAATAAGGGTAAGTTAATTAAAAATACGATTTAAAATGATTCAATATATCTAAATAATAGTTTTTACGAATCTCTAGGATTGTTGTGTGTTGGTGGATCGGAAAATTGGAGTAATGGACAAGTTTTTAGGAGTCTCAGGTAAATATTCAAAATTCAATTTAAAGCACGTGCATGGCGATGCGAGTACTTGGAAATTCATTTACTTATTATGTATATATTTTATACATTATTATTCATTATACATTGATGCATTATTATATTGATACATTATTAATTTTTTAGAAATTGATAAGGAATCGGAGGTCCAGAAAGTTTCACCAGAACGGAATGAGCCCAAGCGCAAATGTGTAAAGTCCATTGTTTGGAATTATTTCAAACGATTAGAAAGTGGATCAGCCAAATGCCTCACCTGTGGGCATGTTTACAAATCCTGTGGAAACACTACAAACCTATTCAATCATTTGAAGCGGGCTCATCCGACTGTGCTCATCGTTCCAAAAGTCGGAGCAACGATTGCGGACTTTTTCGACACTAATGCATGGCTCATCCCGGAAATCTTCGCTGGACAAGGCTCTTATTTCGATGATCGCTACAGACCTACAGCCTTTCAGGATTGTGGAGGACGGAGGATTCCGCAATTTTGTCTACTGTCTCGACCCGCAATACACTTTACCCAGCAGGAGGACATTAAATGATGTCTTATTGTCAAACATGTATGATGATATGACCAAAAAACTTAAGGACATTCTTAGTAAGGTAAGGCACTGCGCTGTGACCACAGATGGATGGACATCAAGGGCCAATGACCATTATTTAACGGTCACGTGCTATTTTTTTATGGATGATTTTGAAATCAAAAGCGCAGTCTTGTCCACAAGCAAACTTCTTAACGATTTGGATCAAACGAGCGAAAACATTGCTATCTCCCTTCATAAAGTTTTCTCAGAGTGGGGTGTGGCCAGCAACATATCTGCCATTGTGACAGATAATGCATCCTCCATGATCAAGGCCTGCTCAATTTTAGGAAAACGTCACATGCCTTGCTTTGCCCATACCTTGAATCTTATCATGCAGGATACCTTACAGCTGGAAAAGATAAAGCCTATTATTGCCAAATGTAAGCGTATCGTAGCTTTTTTTAAGAGCAGCTCAAATGCTTACGCGAAATTAAAGTCTGTCCAGGAAAGTCATACCTCTTACGGTCTTACACAAGAAGTCCCGACTAGGTGGAATAGCTGCTACAAAATGGTGAGCAGGATTCTGAAAATAAAAGACTCCATTTTTCGTGTGTTATTGGACACAAAAAAAGATCCTCCACCGCTAACAGCAGAAGAAGTTTCTGTTCTATACGACCTTGAGCTATTGTTTGAGCCGTTTGATACTGCTACCAACAGGGTCTCAGGAAGCAGTTACATATGTGACAATATCGCTAATAATACCGTTATCGGCTGATCTCCACCATCGTCTTAGCAACATGATTCCATCTTTTAAGACTTTGGATGGTGTCGAAACGTGCAATTACATATTGCAAAAGATAAACACTCGGCTGTTTCCGTACGAAAGCAGGACTGTGTCCAAAATGGCAACCATATTAGATCCCCGTTTTAAAAAGGAGGGCTTTCGAAGCACCGTCTCTGCTGATTCCGCAATTGAAGCTCTGAAGAACGAAATTTCCAACCATCCAACAAATTTGAACCCATACTACGATTCACAAAACGATCCACCAACACACGAGTCCCAGGGAAAATCACCTATATTTTCATTTAAGAAAACCAAATTGGAAAATAAAGTGAAGACACCGAAATCTGATGCCATTTTTATACTCCGACAATATTTGGAGAAACCGCACGCAACTCCAGATATAAATCCGCTGGAATTTTGGAAGGTTTGCACATTTTTTATAATTTGAAGAAATTGTTATAAAATTTACTTTTTTGTCAGATTAACGCCACTGAAATGGAAAACCTGTGCCCAGCGCTACCTATGCATACCTGCGTGCTCAACTGAGTCCGAGCGCATATTCAGTGGGGCTGGATGCATAGTGAGTGATAGACGCGCCTCTCTCAAACCAAAAACGGTTGATAAGCTAATTTTTGCAAGCAAAAACCAATGGCTAACTGAAATTTAAATGCTTTCCTTATTTCGAAAACCATATTTTTATTTACATTTTTTCTAGTTCTAGTTCTTATTTTAATTTTTAGCTTTTTAAGTTCATAGTTTTGTTTACTTTTCATAATTTATAAGATTTGATCTCACTGAATTTTGAAAACCATTATTTTTATTTACTTTTCTATTTGTTCTTATTTTTGTTTTTTAGCTTTTTAAGTTCAGTTTATTTTTCATAATTTATAAGATCTCAATGAAATAAAAATGAAGACCTCAATGAAATAAAAATAAAAGTTTGTTTTTTTTCGATTTAATCGATGTTTTTTTTTTCTAAAAAATCGAAAAGAATCGAAGCAGCGAGAATCGATTTTTCCCCAGCTCTAATATGCAGCATGTTTAGTGCTTTAATCGTTGGTATTTTCATTAAATTATTAACTCATTAAATTATGTCCGTCAAAATAGCGTCGCTCAGTTAGCGTCGAAGTGGAATGGTGGAATTGAAACACATCAACGAACTTTTTGTTTTTTAATTATTTCCGTATTTAGCCACTAAATTTAATCAAATAAAGCAGGGGTGGGCAAGCCCATGGCTCCTCAGGCTTTCAAGGCTCCCCCCGTTATTTGTAATTTTTGGCGCCAGCAAATCGGGCCAGACGAAGATTTACAAAAACAATGCTACACAAATTCCGATGCAGGTAGCGGGCCCGACCCCGCGGTCCCGAGTTTGCAACAACAATTATTAAGGGTCCGTTTGCGCACAACCCAACGACAACCATCGCGAGGGTGGTGGTTGTTGTAATTTGTTGTTTGGCCGAGCTGCGGCTCCGACCGTTAGATTTCGTGCCCACCACTGAAATAAAGACTAGAATTGTTAAGAATTGAATAAACTATAGTTTTTTCTTACTTTGAGCGGGTTCTCTTTAAAAAGCTTAAAAATGGGTTTGAAAAATTGCCCCTTCACTGTATTGAGCATTATCTCAGAAATAAGAGGATGCGCCAATAAGCACGATACACCAGCTTATAGCCCATTAATATAAGAATATGCCCTGAAAATTTTATTAAAATCGCTCCCTACGTTTAGGAGGAAGCAAAAATCATACAAAATCATACACGGCGGTAGCCTTGTTGGGCAACGTGCAACACGTGAATTTAATAATGGCCAGTATTGGCGAATCAGGGTCCAAAATTTTCGGGACTTGATTGCTCAAAATCTGTGGGAGCGATTTTGATGGGACCATTCGAATGGGATAAAAATTAGCTTTCTCGTGGCAAACCATAATGGCGCATCCTCTTTAAAAAAGCTAAGGTGGCCATTTCAATTCCATAATGGCGGCTGAAGTGTTAGGCAGCGCAGAAATATGTGATGCTGTTAATGGCCAGTATTGGTGAATCAGGATCTGAAATTTTCGGGACTTGATTTCTTTAAATCTGTGGGAGCGATTTAAATAAAAGTAGTCTTATAATTTTCTGTATAAAGTAAGCTTTTTAACGGTATACCGTGCAATTTGGGGCATCCTATGTGAAGGATTCATAAGCCTAATAGAAGCCATATAGTATTTTTAAGCTCATTCAATGAACTTTTTGTGGATTGGTTCCGGTTCACTAGTTGGCGCTCCTCTTGTCAGTCAAATTATATGGGTAACTGTAATTCGATTTTCTCAAAATCTGTGTGAGCGATTTGTATGATTTTTGCTCTATACATGCTTGCAAAGGTCCTAAATCGATTCCACTACTGTGCATATGGGCGCATCCTCTGCGGGCGCCACAATTTAAAAAACTATTTTTTGGATAATTTTTGTATGGGCTGTTAGCCGGGTTAGTCCACTTTTATTCGATGCGCTCCAAAATGTAGGGAGCGATTTTAATAAAATTTTCTTATTCGCTTATGCGCTTATTGGCGCATCCTCTTGTTTCTGATATAATGCTCGAAACAGTACGGGGGCAATTTTTCAAACCCGTTTTTAAGCTACTTAAAGAGTGTGAAACCCGCTCAAGGTAAGAAAAAACTATAGTTTATTTATACGCTTACTGAGCGACGCTCACTTAACGGATATAGTAAAATTTGAATATCCAAAATGTAAATAACATGTATCCAAATTGAGATTTGTTTAAACGATAATTATTGTGTAAAATTTCTAGTTTTCTAGTTTCTAGTAAAAATTTATTTTTAAATATAGGTTATAAATTATAATTTTTTAATTTTAATTTAATTTTTATTTTATATTTATAAATAATTATTTGCAGAAAAATGGAATATCAACATTCGACATTAGGCAGTAGACCTGATTTCAATCTGTTTCAAAATCTTTTGAATATTTTAAAAGTTAAAGTATATATATAAATAACCAAAAAATAAGAGAGTTTATTTTGGCAGTGTCTGTTATAGAGAGATTATCAAGGAATCTATCGAACACTTGATCCAAACACACTATAGGACCAAAACTATTTTATTTCTGAATACGTTAAATACTAAGATATGAAGAAATAATTTTCAAAAAAATTTTGTTGTTACCTTGGAATGGTTGAAAAATATTTTTTTTGTTCGCCCACATTTTTATATCCGTTTTATAATTTTGTCCACGCAGTGGAGGAGACATCTCCGACCCTTCAAAGAATATATATTCTTGATCAGGATCCCCTCCAGAGTTGATATGAGAATGTCCGTCTGCCTGTCTGTTTCTACGCGAACTATTCTCTCAGTTTTAAATTTATCGACTTACAACTTTTCACACACCCTTCTTTCCTTTGCACGCAGTATGTAAGTCGGAACGACTGGGATCGGCCGACTATATCCAATGGATGCCATATAACTGATTGATCGAAAATGGTATAACTTTAATGTTTTTAGAGTTAGAGAGTTCAAATTTTACATGAGGGCTTTGCAAAAAATTACGACATGCCAAATTTCATAGGGATCGGCCGACTATATTCTATAGCTGCCATATAACTGAATGGTCGGAAATGACCCAAATTTCGTGTTTTTGAAGATAGAAAGCTGAAACTTAGTACAGATTATATTTTTAGTTAGTTGATTCAACATACCAAATTTCATCGATTGGCCGACTATATTTTAAAGCTGCCTATAACCACTAACCATACAGCATATAGACAACCCATTTCATACAACGAAAATGGACGCGAAAATTTCTTGCGACAGGCCCCAGCAGGCCCCAGAGCGGATTTCTTACGCTCTCTTACGCTCATCGTTCGTTCATCTTACGCTCATTCTCGCATTAAATGTTTTCTGTTTCTCAGTCTCTAAACGGAGCGCGATGAAGAAGGTTGGCCTGCGCTTCGGTTGATCTTTGTATGTATGCGTGTCACACATTCACATACACGGGTGTATGTGTGCGTGCGATTTCGTTTCTACAAGAGGTATCAGAAAACCAATGTAAATATATAAATATATGTATATATCACAATAACCCAAATTAATAACAAGTGCCTGGAAAATTGTAAGCAAATAAGGTAAACAATTCCATCAGCTGTTTTAGCTGATCGTTAGAGTAGGCATGCACAAGCCTCTTGCAGAACAACAAAAACTTAAAAGCAATCGGCATTTTAAGTGACTCCGACTGAAATATACTCTGACACTTTCTCAGTATATTGATTTTTAATGATTCGTAAAAATATATATACAGAAAACATTTTACTACTAACACTTAATCTTATTCCTAAATAAATTAAAAACCTATGCTGAAATAATAAAAAATATAATATAAAAAATAATATAATTTCTTTTGTCATTTCATCAAATAACGAATACCCGAATTTGGTTAGGGTAGCAAGCCTGAAAAGTAAGAAAAATCAAAATTTTGTGCGCTGGCTTCGAAACGAAATCGCACGCACACATACACCCGTGTATGTGAATGTGTGACACGCATACATACAAAGATCAACCGAAGCGCAGGCCAACCTTCTTCATCGCGCTCCGTTTAGAGACTGAGAAACAGAAAACATTTAATGCGAGAATGAGCGTAAGATGAACGAACGATGAGCGTAAGAGAGCGTAAGAAATCCGCTCTGGGGCCTGCTGGGGCCTGTCGCAAGAAATTTTCGCGTCCATTTTCGTTGTATGAAATGGGTTGTCTATATGCTGTATGGTTAGTGCTATAACTCAACGATCGGAAATGGCATTTGGTTTTTACTAAAAACTTTTTAGTAAACATACCAACTTTTGTATTTTTAAATATAGAAGCTTGGGGCTTTTTTATGTATTGTAATAAATTGGTTATAATATTATATTATATCGGCCAACTACATCCGATTTTTGCGATGTATTATATATCCGGTTTTAACTGCAACTTTTAACGGCCATAAAGTAAACGCTAGCTGAAAATATATCCATTAAGGCACCTCCTTCACAATTTATAAATAAATGAAAAATTAAAACAGTTATATTTAATTGCAAATTAAACGTTGAACTGGGTCCCTTTTTCATCCTATTATTGTGTTCTTAGAGAGTAAGTAAACGATATTGAGTCAAAAACATCGATACTTCGATATTGAGATTGCTGGTGAATACATTGTATCAATGTTTAGTTTTTTTCCGGGTCGTCAGTGTATTGACAAGGCTCTAGTAGATGTAGACACTCTTGTTACATTTTGTCAGAATTTATAATTTAATCTCACAATTTTAAATGGATACCTTGGAGGAAGGCCTGAAAAAAGTAACATTAGACTCATCTTCCAATTGTTTTAGTCATGGAAAAGTTGGTAAGGTGATACAAAACTTGACCAGGAATCCATATATGAATTGTAAAAAAGAGGCGCCATCCATTCCACCGAAACCGCTAAAGAATCGAAATGAATTACCCCAGGTACATACATATGTAGATACTTTCTACAATAAATCTAATTGTACAGCCTTGCAGAAGGTATTCGAATTTTTAAAGGTTCAACGCTGTAGAGAAGACATCAAATTTTAATGAATTTTTATGTGACCAGGAAGTCAATATAAACATTTCCTTATTTAACAAGTTGCCAAACTGGAAATTTTTTTTTTATTTTCAAGCAGAATAAATATGTACATATGCACTTAGGCAAAAAATCTGTCACGACATCCTTTAACTACATACATACATACCCAAGTGCATTAAAATGAACAATTGAAAATTTCATAACTTGTATTTCATGCAGGGTTAAAATACGTATAATATTTACAAATATACATATGTACATACATAGATGTCCGTAATGCAGTGGGGGCCAAACTCTCATTTTACATACATACATACATAGATCGCGTGCATAGGGTGGAAATTCTCCAGGGCTGCCGGCACACAGTGTGAGCATTTCCAAATTTTGTTTAGAAGCTCTCTCTTATTTGCTCTCACTTTGACTCATTTGACCCGAAACTTAAAAATCAAAATTTCTCCACTGAAAAAAATTTTTTCTGAAAATGGGACGAAACACGTTTTTTCCGTAGAACATATAGATAAAGAAGCGTAGTTTTTCATTTGTTTAACAATTTTGGAAGTGCGTTTTGGAAGTCGGTTTTGGCTTGCTCGAGCAAAATCAATAAAGCTGCGAATTGGAATGGAATATTTTAATGCAATAACTTTACTTTTAAAATAGAGGCATGTAGCTTTCTTTCGAGTCTATTCCCAATTAAATATCTCCATTAGTTTTTTTTATACCCTTGCAGAGGGTATTATAATTTTGGTCAAAAGTGTGCAACGCAGTGAAGGAGACATCTCCGACCCTATAAAGTATATATATTCTTGATCAGGATCACCTCCTGAGTTGATATAAGCATGTCCGTCTGTCCGTCTGTCTGTTTCTACGCAAACTAGTCTCTCAGTTTTAAAGCTATCGACTTGAAACTTTGCACACACCCTTCTTTCCTTTGCACGCAGTATATAAGTCGGAACGGCCCGGATCGGCCGACTATATCATATAGCTGCCATATAACTGATTGATCGGAAATGGTATAACTTTGGTGTTTTTAGAGTTAGAGAGTTCAAATTTGACATGAGAGCTATTTTTGGCAACAAATTACGACATGCCAAATTTCGTAAGGATCGGCCGACTATATCCTATAGCTGCCATATAACTGAACGATCGGAAATGACCCAACTTTCGTGTTTTTGAAGATAGAAAGCTGGAACTTGGTACAGATTATATATTTGGTCAGTTGATCCGACCTACCAAATTTCATTAGGATCGGCCGACTATATCCTATAGCTGCCATATAACTGAACGATCGGAAATGGTATTTGGTAGAAATATCAACTTTCGTATTTTTGAAGATAGAAGTTTGGGACTTTTTTTAGATTTTGTATTGTAATAAATTGGATTATATATTCCTATTCCCATAAGGATCGGCCAACTATATCCGATGTTTGCGATATATATCCGGTTTTAACTGCAAGGGTATATAAACTTCGGCTCCGCCCGAAGTTAGCATTCCTTTCTTGTTTTAACTAAATTAAGTACGGGTCGCAAACGTACGATTTTTCCACATATAAAACTTTTTTTTTTTTTTGTTTACCTCTTTGTTTTTATAAATAAATTTATATTTTCTTAAAAAATCATGTTTCACAACATTTTTTTTTTAATAAAAAATTTCGTTTTAATTTTATTTTAATTTATTTTATTTATTTATTGTACTCTGCACTCAAAAATTGCAAACTTTAGGTACAGGCGGGGATCGGCCATAGCTTCGGTGGCTTTCGGCCGGAAGGTGTTACATATTTGCTTATAAATTAAACTTATAACAAATAATGATTATTTACACGTGTGGTAACAAGTTATTTACACTTAAATTATTTATAAATTTAATAAAATATAAGTTATATGAGATGCAAAAGGTTAGCTGATTTAAGGAAGTTTAGAATTAGCTGGAGGTTTGCAGGATGAGGGTCAATTAATAGTTCCGTGAGTTTAAAATTTGGAAAATTTGTTCTACGTGTTTGTTGGGCGGGGCAGTCGTCAAGGATATGGGAGATTGATATGGAGTCCGTGGTGCAGAACTGGCATTGATAGTTTGGTGTCTGTGAGAAGCGATGTTCGTGGGTGAGTCTGGTGTGGCCAAGTCGAAGCCGGATTATTTTGGTAATCTCTCTTCTTGGGAGGTTTGAGGTCTGTGCAGTTTTACTGTAGTCGGCTATGCTTATTGCTTCAGGGTTAATTTGTTGGTACCACTGCGATGATTTTTGCAAGATTATAGGTTTTTTTTTGAGGGACTCTGATTTTAATTGTTTGTTGATGTCTCCACGGTTAACATTTATTGTAGAAAATAGTGGAGCGATGGTCGCTCCTTTCGCTGCTGCATCGGCTATGTTAATGTTGGCTATTGCTTCCAATGTGGATAGGGAATCTGAGCAGATGCAGAATTTCCCTCTAATCTTGACTGCTATTTTGATCGTGTTTTAGAAGATAGAAAGCTGGAATTTAGTACAGATACTATTTTTGGTCAGTTGATCCAACCTACCAAATTTCATTAGGATCGGCCGACTATATCCTATAGCTGCCATATAACTGAACGCTCGGAAATGGTTTTTGGCAGAAACACCAACTTTGGTATTGTTAAAGATAGAAGTTTGGGACTTGTTTTAAATTTTGTATTATAATAAATTGGGTTATATTATCATATTCTCATAAGGATCGGCCAACTATATCCGATGTTTGCGTTATATATACGGTTTTAACTGCAAGGGTATATCAACTTCGGCTCCGCCCGAAGTTAGCTTTCCTTTCTTGTTTTTATTTGTAAGTGTTCGATTCTGGTTTCTAATGGTTCGATGTTAGATTCCAAGTATAGATTGAAAGTGGGTCTAGAGCAGAAGGCTCCCAGAGATGTTCGCAAGATTGAGTTAATTAACGTTTTAATTGGTTTTATAAGTGACTTAGAGGAGTTACCGTATATCGGTAAAGCGTAAACAATTTTGGAAATGCAAAGGCTTTTGACGATTTGAACATAATTTTGCGGAATTTTGCGATTTGATTTAGTTTATAATTGCGGATTGTGTAGAGATCTGGCATGAACATTGTTTTTTCCGGCAAATGTAGATGTGTTTGCATGTTTTTTGGTTGAAATGTTTTTTTCTTTTTTCAATGGTATTAAGATGTTAAAATCGGCCGCATAAGCTGTGTGTTGAAGTTCCTTGTGCTTGTCGATTATATCTGAGAGACTGTTGAACGCAATGAGAAAAAGTACTACCGAGAGGGGAGATCCCTGCGGAATGCCATTGTGGAGTGGGTGTGTCCTTGAGGTGTTATCATTGGCACGAACTCTTATTTTCCTTTTTGACATGAAGTTCATCACATATTTGATAATTAATGGGCCGCAGCCCCATACTGATAGTTGATTTGTGATGGTATGCAAACCTATTTTTTCAAATGCTTTTGCGAAGTCAAGAGATATAATGGATATGTGTCTTTTTTCAGAGAGGGCTCTGTTTATTAGATGGTCTGTGTAAAGTAGACAATCCATTGCAGATTTCCCTTTTTTAAATCCGAGTTGACGGCTGTTCAGTAGCTTGTTGGTTGTAGCAAACCACCATAGCCGTTTTGATATTATTTTGTCAAGGGTTTTAGATAAACATGGGTTGAGGGAGATAGGTCTATATGATTCCGTCATGGTTTTGTCTGCACCTTGTTTGTGGATAGGTATAATTGTGCTGATTTTGTACGATTGAGGAATATAAGATTTTAAAATGTTGTTGAAAAAGCGGATAATTCTCATTTTCAGTGATTCAGCGACGTGTCGTATCATGTCATAGTTAATCTTATCTTGACCTGGGGTGTGACCCTTTAAGCTATTTAGTGCCGATGAGAACTCTAGGAAGTTTATATCCTGTTCCATGAACGCTGCAGTTTTGTGTGGGGGAGATAAGAAGTTTAGCGTATTTAGATTATTTTTTTCTTCAATGAAAAGGTTGGAGAATTGGGAGTTTTCTGAACGGAGTGACCAATAGCTTGCGAAGGCTTCAGAAATATCTTCGGAGCTGGTGAGCAAATCGCTACTGCTGTTGTCCTTGATAGCGTGTATTTGTGTAGCTTTGTGAAGACCACAGAGCTTTTTTATATTACTTCAAATTGCTTCCGGTTTGGACTGAGGAGAGATTGTCGAAGTCAATTTAAATAGGCTATTTGCTTTACTCATTTTAATTCCCTTCTGAATTTTGCGTTCATTTTTTTATAATGGATGAGGTTGTCGTTGGACATATCTCTATTGAATGTTCTCTAGGCTTTAAATTTTTCCTTATTCAGACCAGTTTTTTGTTCCACCAAGGAACATTGTGGTGGGTCTTAGGTGGTCTCGTGTGTGGAATGCTCTTGTGTGCACTTTGCAAAATAATTTTCTTGATATTGCCTGCTTCCTGATTAATGTTTAGTGATATTGGTATTTTATTGTTCAGGTCTTCAGTTATCATCTCGAATTTTTCCCAATCAGCTCTGCTAGTAACGAATCGTTGTACAAAGTTTTGACTCGCAATATACTTTAGGTTCAGGTGAACAGAATGCCAAGTCAATATGTGTAAAGGTCCTATGGATTGAGAAATGCGTGGGTTGTCCGTTGTTAAGGATAATGAAGTTGTTATCCAGAATGAATTTTCCTAATATTCTTCCCCTCAGATTAATTTTTGGGGATCCCCAGCTGGTATTCCAGCTGTTGAAGTCTCCTGTAATTAGGTTTGGGGAGTTTCCTGGTGGTAAAATTGAATGGAGATCTATTTGGTTGAATTTCTTGTTAGGAGGTATATAGGATGCTATTATATTACATTTTTTTACAGACTGAATTTCCAATGCAATGGAGTCAACTGTGCTCTGAAGAGGGATGGATTTGTGCTGTATAGATTTGTGAATTAAAATT